GGAACAAGAAGTAGACACTCTCTTGAGGAATGAGGCCACCGAGGTGGTCCCTCCACGCAACAGAGAGTCCGGGTTTTACAGTCTCTACTTCATTATTCCAAAGAAGGATGGGGGGTTGCGTCCGATTCTAGATCTGCGTCTGTTGAACCGCTCAGTCATGCGACTGAAGTTCAAGATGCTCACACTCAAACAGGTTGTGTCTCATATCAGGTCCGAGGACTGGTTTGTCATGATAGATCTGAAGGACGCATACTTCCATGTATCCATCCTTCCCCACCACAGGAAGCTCCTGATATTTGCTTTCAGGGACAAATCTTACCAATATCGGGTTCTTCCGTTCGGCCTTGCACTCTCAACCCGCACTTTCACCAAGTGTGTGGATGCTGCTCTGGCTCCTCTGCGACTCCAGGGCATCCGCATATCGAATTATATCGACGATTGGTTGATATTAGCTAATTCGGAGCACTTGGTGGCTCAGCATCGAGATGTCGTTCTCGCCCACATGAAAGAACTGGGGTTAAGACTAAATGCCAAGAACAGTGTGCTTTCTCCAGCACATAGAACAACTTATCTGGGTGTGGTGTGGGATTCGACTACAATGCAGGCACGTTTGTCTCCTGCTCAGATCGAGTCGATCTGCATCTGCAGCTGCGTCCAATGTCATACCTTTTGGCCTGCTGTACATGAGACCCCTACAGTGGTAGCTCAAGACCAAGTGGTTTTCCCCGAGGGGAAATCCGCTTTGCATGATCAAGGTCATGCGGCAATGCTTACGTGCCTTAGACATGTGGAGGAAACCTTGGTTCTTGTCTCAGGGCCCGGTGCTGGGAGCTCCTTGTCGTCGTGTAACGCTAACGACGAACGCGTCCCTCACCGGTTGGGGAGCGGTCATCAACTGCTTGGAGATGCTGGCCGTGTTTTAGGCACTGAAACACATTCTCCCAGACCTGAGAGGCCATCATGTGCTGGTCCGCACCGACAACATAGTGGTGGTCTCTTATATCAACCACCAGGGAGGTCTGCGTTTGCAGATGTGGCCGAGGCTTCGTCTGTACACTTTTCCCCCAATTGCTCTGCTCCCGGGAGTTCTGGAGAGAGTATTCAGTCTTCTGCTAGTAGCCCCTTTCTGGCCGGCCCGAGTATGGTTCTCGAACCTTGTGTCCCTTCTCGACAGCTCTCCCCTGGAGATTCCGATCAGGAGGGACCTCCTTTCTCAGGCGGGGGATTCCATCCTTCACCCCCGCCCGGAGTTATGGAAGCTGTGGGCATGGCCCCTGAGGGGGCATAGCTCTTAGCATCCGGTCTCTCAACCGAGGTTGAGACCATACTCCAGCCCAGAGCTCCCTCCACGAGGAAATCGTACGGCACGAAGTGGTGTCTTTTCACTTCTTGGTGCGGCAACCATCAGCTGGACACAGTTAACTGCCCAGTTGGTTCAGTGCTGGAGTTCCTGCAGGAATGGTTCTCCACGGGGTTATCCCCCTCCACCTTAAAGGTATACGTGGCAGCCTTAGCTGCTTACCATGCCCCTCTTGGTGGCCAGTCATTGGGGAGAGACCCGCTAGTTACGCGTTTCCTCCGTGGTACCCTGAGGTTGAGGCCTCCGGCATGCTCTAGAGTTCCGCCATCTGATTTGGCCGTGGTTCTGGAGGCTCTCTGTAGACTTCCTTTTGAACATCTGGAGGAGGTTTCGGACAGGTACCTTACAGTCAAGACTGTATTCTTGTTAGCCATCTCTTCTCTTAAGAGAGTGGGCGACCTTCAGGACCTATCTGTGGCCCCTTCTTGTCTTGAGTTTGCGCCTGGCATGGCCAGAGCTTTCCTATACCCTAGGCCAGGGTATGTTCCTAAGGTGCCCTCCTTGGTTCCACGGCCAGTCGTGCTGCAAGCCTTCTGTCCTCCTCCCTTTCGGGACCCAGACCAGGAAAAGCTAAACTGAATGTGTCCAGTGTGCCCTGTGGAGAAAATAAGAACAGTTGTTTGTCTACTATGGTCCTCCTAAGAAAGGTCTCCCTGCGACCAAGCAAACCATAAGCAGGTGGATAGTGGATGCTATTTCCATTGCTTATGAGTCTTATAATCTCCCCTCTCCATTGGGGGTCAAGGCTCATTCTACATTTCTGCCTTTCTTTCAGGTGTGTCTTTACACAATATTTGCAACGCAAATGGTCCACTTCACTTACGTTTGTCAGGTTTATAACCTTGACTTTGACGCCACTCCTGGCTCTTCTGTTCTCTCGACCTAGCTGTGCTCTTCCACACTAGGCAGGGATTCGTAATCATGGCGGCGTGGACATTATCATAAGCGTTTTGACGCAGCGTGAGTTCCTGAAGGGGAATGTCACTAGGTTACGTATGTATAAAAGGGCACCTGCTGAATACATCACCAGGCAGGCTGAAGGCATGGCGAGGAGACGCAGTGTCTCGTTACCTCTCGGGGGGAAGCATGGTTACATGCGTAACCCGAGACATTCCCCTTCTAGGGAACTCACGCTGCGTCCTTTAGCGGACACTATGGGGAATGAAATACCAACTATGCCATGCTGAGGCACATGCCTGTCCAACTGGTGAGAGACCAAGGAAGTGACAGACATACACCAAATAGCCAAATTCCCCAACACATCTACTTACGCGAAGTTGATCACATTTAAAATAAGAAAAATAAACTATAATGCAACCAAGGCCATATTATGAGAAACAGAAACAATTAATTAATTGAGGCTATGCAGTAACGGGTCCACTTGGATCTGAAAACCCAAGGTCCAACCCGAGAGGGTTCGGGTCCAAAACTTTGAAGAGTGCCTCAGACACGGGTTGGGTTCGGTTTTAGTTGCCTTGGGTCTCGGGTAATTTAAAATTAATGTGCTTTTTCCTAATGGACCCGATAAGACCCTATCCGTTTAACGGAATTGTGCATTGGTGTTAAGTGCATTTTTGAGAAATGTACATAGAAAAGGAACATATGTTCATAACCTCGCACACAGAAATCCATCTTATAGATATGAGATCCATCAGGAAAAGCCACTCGCTTCATTACAGTGCGTGCTCATGCAGGGCAGGTTTTTTTTTTGTGTGTGTTTGCAGAATCCCTTCGCCGGAAGATGAGGTAAATAGCATTGCAGAGCAGACAACACTAGCGAATCCATGATGTATTAGAATATCGATTTAATTTTTATCGAGCTATCACGTTTATTTTTTTCAAACCACTGGTCACAATTGAAAGCCAAACTCAGAAATAAATTGTATTCATCAGGCAAGCAGTAATATAAAGTAATAATAAATTAAATAAATGTAAAATAAATCAAAGTAATGGAGAAGTGGCCAAATCAGTCAACAGGACACAGGGATTTTTCTTTACTGACAGTCGGGTTCGAAAATAATTGCAGTCGGCTTGGGTCGGACTCGGGTCAGGTTTTTCTTTTAAAGAAAAAAATTAATACACATCAGGTTCAGGTAAGAAGTGATTCCGGTTGAGCAGCCTACAGATTTTAGGACCCGAGAAGACCTCAACTATGCAGTCTAGTTTAGATCTGAGTCATTCGTTCTTTTGTCACGTCACATCCCTGTAAGCTGCAGCTATGCAGTAAGTACTGGAAACAGAATTGATTAGTTCATCTCTTGAGTCTTCAGGTTTGAGTCATTCGTTCATCCCGTCACAGCCCCATAGGCTATAATGCAGTCTGTATCGGAAACAGAATTGATTAGTTCACCTCTCGAGTCTTCAGGTTTGAGTCATTCGTTCTTTTGTCATGTGCCCGCTTCCATGACAGAAATTACAAAAGTATAAATTGTAAGAAATAAAACGCTACAAATTGAGACCAGAAATGCATCTGTTAAAAAATTGAATACGCGTGTGTTTGTATCACGGATTATAATGGGTTCTATTATCTATTATCCTGTCGCGTCACGCCGCTGGCGTCTTATGTAGACAAGCAGTGTGAGACTGAAGATGCGAATCTTTAGAAGTCGTGTCATTGTGACGTCACTGAGACTGCTGTGTGTATTTGACTGTTTGGGCACGCCATGTTCAGAATCTGTCAATAGGAAAATAAAGACAAAACCCATTTTATTCAATTTAGAAATAAGGTTGAAATATATCGTATGGTCGATGAGAACTATAGGAGGTTTAAACTACTGAAAGTAGAATTTCTTTCAGTTTTTATTTTATGTCCTATAGGGTCACATTTTTGGCAAGATTTCGCAGGCATAAAAGGTCCATTGTCTATTGTATCTGCATGAGGAAATCATTCGCCGTCACACAGAATTTACACTCATGTGGATTCCTGTTGAAATGACAGGATTTCACCTGCAAAAATTCACAGAACAATATGTGACCACACCATTAGTAATAATATTTCCATTCAGAAATACAGTATGTGTTCTTAAAGTCCTAAAAAGGATTATTTAAAATGTTTTCCAATTGAAAGATATGGAAGCTTATTTCTGCTACAGAATAAAAAACAAGATTACAAGATATAAACTCAGTATTGTGAGATATAAACTCAGTTCTGAGAAGAAAAGTCTGAATTGTTAGAGAAAAACTTGCTATTCTGAGAAGGAAAGTCTGAATTGTGAGAAAAACTTTCAACTGCAAGAAGTCAGAATTAAAAGGTAATTGTGACTTTTTATCTTGCAATTCTGACTTAATTTCTCATAATTGCAAGTTTATATCTCAAAAAGTATTTTCCTATTTATCACAATCCTAAAAAAAAGTGAAATATAAATACCATTTTTACATTTCTATTCTGTGGCAGAAATAAGCTTCCATAGAAAGAAATCCAATAGGAATCACATACAATTTCTGCATTTCTTAGAGACACATTTGAAGTGCATTGTAGTTCCAGGGTTGATTATTAAGTCCTGAAGCTGTGTACCGTCGCCTACATTGGTTTTCAACTCTGAAGAAAATATTTAAAATAATCAACTGCAAAGTTAATGCAAAATAAACACCAGAGTCCATAATTTTTTCCAATTTACATCATCCATATCACCATTGTACAAATCAAAAGTCTACATCCCAGCCAGAATCATCCAATGGTGCTGCTTCAATGTGGGTTTCTGGCAGGAGTGATGATCCTCCGTGATCAGAGACACAAGGAACCTGTAGAAAGGTTACATTTATTCAAACTGGACAGATGCAGCATTTGAAAGGTGTGTTTGTTATATAAGTGTAAGCTGAATAGAGTGCTCTCAACTCTACAGTGTTCAGTGATGCCGCTCACGTTTGGTATTACTGGTGGAGTCATTGTGCCCTTCTGAAGTCCTTCCCAGTCGAAGCCTTCAAACCACCTGAGAAACACAACACAAGTTAATCAGTCCAGAAAATAAGCCAGCACTTAAAAACAGAACAGCATCCTCTCCTCTTCTTTGCTCTTTTCTTTTCCACTCTCATGTAATCTCACAACCCCCCCCAAACACACATACACACACACACACAAACACACCAATCCCTTTTCTTCCTTGTGTACAAATTTATTTGATGAAGAGTAGGTCTTACACGTGTTTGCAGATGTCCTTGACCCCGTTCCTCTGGCCTAGCCTCTCTGAGGGGTTCAGCCTGGAAAATGGGTGACAGATTATAGCAGACTCAGACATACAAACCCCAGAGCGTATGTAGAGCACTGCTACTCACACTGCCACTCTGTCTGTCTGTCTATCTATCTATCTATCTATCTATGTCTGTTGATCCTTCTATCTATCTATCTATGTCTGTTCATCATTGTGACGAGTGGGGGCGGGGCCGAGAGCCGTGGGAACGGAGCGAGGCCGGTGGAGTAATTGATAATGAGCGACACCTGCTTGATCATTCTATCATCTATCTATCTATCTATCTATCTCTGTCTGTTTATCTATCTATCTCTGTCTGTTGATCATTCTATCTATCTATCTATCTATCTCTCTCTCTCAAGAAAAGGAGTGGCAGACATTTCACTTGGTTTACCAAGCCTTTTCTCAACTTTTTTTTCTCCCATATAGGAAACAGACACTGTGAGGAAACACTCTAATTTTACCTGCAGAGACTCTTGATGAGATGTGCTGCAGTCCTGCTGATTGTTTTGGGCAACTCTAGCTCATCTATTCCCTTCAGAGCTGCTGTATAAACCTTCAGCTGCTCAGAGCCAGAGAACAGGGGACTGGAAATTGAAAATTAAATGTAACATTTAAAACATGTTTAGCAATGAAGGCCTAGCAGATGAGAAGCAGGGTTTAAAAATTTTAAGTTCATAGATTTGTTAAAACATTTTTTTTTTCATTAAAAGCACACTTTTTAATTTAGGTATACATGTTAAAATATCCGTTTGAAGTTGGACTGTTTTGTTTTTTGTTTGTTTTTTGGAGTGGATGAATGTATTATGTAACCCAGTTTCTGGTAGTAAAGAGTTGTGTTCCTCTCATGTTGCTTCCTGTATTTTTGCTCTGATACCAAGCAAAATAAACCAGAATTACTTCAAGGTACAGTACTCATGTTATGATCAGTCTCACCCTACCATGTGTAATGTTTAAAGGAATAATTCACCCAAAAGTGCTTTATATGATAAATAGATTTAATTTAGACTTTTATTAATATATAAACATTTATTAATGCACATACATAGAGCCCATCATATATGGTACCAACAGAAGCTCAGCTGTGCTTGCTTGTCACGCAAGAACAAACATCACTGGTTTGCCACATTTTTAATGTGCTCTATGATCAATGTTTATATGTGAATACAAACCTAAATTAAAACTGAAAGAATTATGTCAGAATTTTCTTTATTGGTTATTCTTTTTAAACATTTATTTGTAGTGCTGCCCACTTTCTTGCTAAACTTCAATTCTAAATACTGTATGTTAACTGTTACTAGTTTTCCCATTTTTTTAATGCATGCTAAAGAACAAGCATGCTACAGATGCTTTGAAAATTACTATGTGTAAAAGATTTATTTTAAAGAACTCAGACTAAAGCTACAAATAAACCCAGGTGTTTCAGATTATTTGTAAATGTCACCTTTTTGTTCTGTGCACTGAATTTTGTTGGATTTTTGTCTTTGGGAATAGTGTGCAGTCTTTTTTTGCTATTTTTATTTAAAAAATAAACCATAACATTACTTGATGCTTATATATAAACCTACAATAGTCAACTGTACCGTTGTGTACTGCCTTTGCAAAATCACAAAAAATAAAAAAGCAAGACATGACGTCTAAAGATCCCTCACCTGCCATTGAGCAGTTCATACAACAACATCCCTAGAGCCCAGAGATCTGCAGACAGACCGTGACCTTGATGCAGAATGACCTCTGGAGGCTGATAACCCACAGATCCACAGAATGACCAGGCTCTGTGCAAAGAGCCCAGCTTCTTAGCACAACCAAACCCTGTCTGATAGAGTGAGAAACACAAGTGAAGTGTTATAATAGTTAAAATTACCCAACATGAATCATCACAATCAAGTAGTTACAGGCTGCCAACTGGTTTAACTTTAAACATGGATGAATTTGTATGTATTCAGCACCAGTTTAGCATATCCTCGCTGGTCCAGTAGCACATTTTCAGGTTTCAGGTCTCTGTGAACAATGTTTTTGGTGTGAAGCACATGAAGAGCTTCCAGCACAGACGCTGCGTAGAAGCGAACAGCGTCGTCTTCCAGTGATCCCCTGAAACATCAAATCACATAGTAGTCAGTGTTCAGTTCAGTTCATAAGATGACATATTCACTGTAGTATTTAGTCTTTACATGTTTTATTTGTGTACATTTTTAGCTAAATGCTTTCAGGCTATATAGATTAGGTATAAATTCCTTAAAATGTGAGATTTACTCCAGATAATGTCCTTCCTTACTGTTAAGTGATTTACAAACACTTTCTGGCCAAATCACTCAAAAGAATCAGTTGAGAAGAATTGTATGCATATATCGCTGTATGTATGCTGAGATGCTGAGACAGTATGTACCTCTCTCTCAGTAAATTCCACAGATCTCCACCTTCACAAGCCTCCATCAGCATATACAGGCACCGATCATCTTTATACGTGCAATGCAACCTGACAAAAAATATAAAACTTTTAAATCTTACAGTCTAACACAACATCCCAACTGACACATTAAAAATGTCATTGGCAATTAACTGACAGGCTGATATGCAAGGGCAATATCTGTATTTTGGGGACATAAGATTGGTTTAATTGAAATTAATGTTTTTATTCAGCAAGAATGGATTAAATTGATCAAATGTGATGTAAAGACTTTTGCATTCTTAAAAAAATATTTAAAATAAATTATGTTGTTTTGAATTTTCGATTTATCACATAATCCTGAAAAAAGAAATCATCATAGCTTCCACAAAAAACATTAAGCAGCACAACTGTTTTCAACAATGATAATATGAATTGGTTCTTTAGTACCAAATCAGGATATTAGACTGATTTCTGAAGGATCATGTGACACTGAAGACTGGAGTAATTTTGCTGAAAATTCAGCTTTACACCACAGGAAAAAAAATTACATTTCAAAATGTATTAAAATAGAAAACACTTATTTTAAATCGTAATAATATTTCACAATATTATAGATTTTACTGTATTTTTGAAAATAAATAAATGCACCTTTAGCAAGCAAGAGACTTTTTAAAATCACAAAAATCTTACCAACCCCAAACTTCTGAGCTTGTACAATAGTGTATCTAATAAGGAATACAACTGCTTAAAAAGGATTTAATTAAATGCAAAATGGGTTTTATTGCCTGATTTCACTGGAAAACCATTTCACACATCATTCCACAAAGAACCTTTAATAATCTAGTTTTTAGAAACCATCTACTGTATGTGCTGGCGCTTTAGAACTCAGAAACAAATTTGATGAACCTTTAATGAAACATTAAGAACTTTCTCCAAAGACGAAAAAGACTGTAGTCCTGTTCCTCGAGGGCCAATGTCCTGCAGAGTTTAGCTCCAACCCCAATTAAACACACAAACAAGTGTGTTGGAGCTGAGCTCTGCAGGACGTTGGCCCTCCAGGAGCAGGATTGGACACCCCTGTCCTATGGTGTCCTAATGGTCTGACCTTACTATAAATGGACTTTGGAGATCCATCAGGATGTGTTTCTCTGCAAGTATCCTCTCTCTTTGGCCTGGGCTCTGTATCACCTGTTTTCTTATGGTCTTCAATGCAAACTTACAGCTGGAGTCACTCTTCAAATGGACCTAGTGACAAAAACATTGGCTGAATTATAATTACTACATGGAACTTTGTTTTGTAAATTAAAATACGTTTAAACTGCAGGGCTAGTTTATGATGCACATCGTACAATACTCATTGAAAACTCACGAGCTGAGTGTGACCGTACTGTCCTTCCCCCAGATTACACAGCACCTGAAAACTGCAGAGAGACGTTTCACCAAACGCAGACCCATCTTCATCTGCCCTGTTTATTATACAGAGATCAAAGTGACCTTCATTAACCATCACACTCAGTGGTTCATGTAAAGCATGCAGACTTTCAAGTCATATTAACAGAACTTACTTCGATCTGGCCTTGTTGGTAGGATTTTCTCTGGCATCGTCCAAGCCTCCAGTTACTTTTTTGAAAACCCTGGATATAGATGGTGGAATGCAGCCAAGGTCAGCTTTACAGCATAAGTTTGAATTAGTTATGTTTTTTTCCCCCCCACTATGCTGTTTCCATAGCATGAATATCCATTTATCCCTCACGGCTCACACTTACTCTCTGTCTATGACCAAACATGTCACATCGCCTGCGGCAAGTGCACTCATCGACCTCTCGTCATCTCTGAAGAGCAAAGGAACAGGTCTGAGACATGATACCTTCTGACTTGAATTGCAATGGTCCTCAGTGAAGCCACAAAGCATTCAACACGCACAAGTTTGCAGTTCTCTTGTTTAGAGCTTCTGGGGAAGTTAGAACAATGGTTCACAACCTACAGTACATTACATAAGTGATCTAAAATATATATATGCTACTCTTTTGTTAATAAACATGGTTGTTGTGAATTTCTTTGGTCCTACATAAACATTTAACAACAAATATCATAAACAAAGTTGTTGTGTTAGATCAGAATGGGTAGTAAGCTGCGATGTAAATCTCAAAGAGTGGCGCCCCCTGCTGGTGAGGGTTGAATCTTACCCTCTCTCTCCAAAACAATCCCCTCTGGTGAGGACAGACGCCATTATACTCTCCTCACTGGCTGAGTGTTTCTCTAATACTTTCACCTAAGAACAAAAGCATGAACACTGTTATGATTTTACTGTACTACATAGTAAAAGATAGATAGACAGACAGACAGACAGACGATAGATAGATAGATAGATAGACAGACAGACAGACAGACGATAGATAGATAGATAGATAGACAGACAGACAGACAGACGATAGATAGATAGATAGATAGACAGACAGACAGACAGACGATAGATAGATAGATAGATAGACAGACAGACAGACAGACGATAGATAGATAGATAGATAGACAGACAGACAGACAGACGATAGATAGATAGATAGATAGACAGACAGACAGACAGACGATAGATAGATAGATAGATAGACAGACAGACAGACAGACGATAGATAGATAGATAGATAGACAGACAGACAGACAGACGATAGATAGATAGATAGATAGACAGACAGACAGACAGACGATAGATAGATAGATAGATAGACAGACAGACAGACAGACGATAGATAGATAGATAGATAGACAGACAGACAGACAGACGATAGATAGATAGATAGATAGACAGACAGACAGACAGACGATAGATAGATAGATAGATAGACAGACAGACAGACAGACGATAGATAGATAGATAGATAGACAGACAGACAGACAGACGATAGATAGATAGATAGATAGACAGACAGACAGACAGACGATAGATAGATAGATAGATAGACAGACAGACAGACAGACGATAGATAGATAGATAGATAGACAGACAGACAGACAGACGATAGATAGATAGATAGATAGACAGACAGACAGACAGACGATAGATAGATAGATAGATAGACAGACAGACAGACAGACGATAGATAGATAGATAGATAGACAGACAGACAGACAGACGATAGATAGATAGATAGATAGACAGACAGACAGACAGACGATAGATAGATAGATAGATAGACAGACAGACAGACAGACGATAGATAGATAGATAGATAGACAGACAGACAGACAGACGATAGATAGATAGATAGATAGACAGACAGACAGACAGACGATAGATAGATAGATAGATAGACAGACAGACAGACAGACGATAGATAGATAGATAGATAGACAGACAGACAGACAGACGATAGATAGATAGATAGATAGACAGACAGACAGACAGACGATAGATAGATAGATAGATAGACAGACAGACAGACAGACGATAGATAGATAGATAGATAGACAGACAGACAGACAGACGATAGATAGATAGATAGATAGACAGACAGACAGACAGACGATAGATAGATAGATAGATAGACAGACAGACAGACAGACGATAGATAGATAGATAGATAGACAGACAGACAGACAGACGATAGATAGATAGATAGATAGACAGACAGACAGACAGACGATAGATAGATAGATAGATAGACAGACAGACAGACAGACGATAGATAGATAGATAGATAGACAGACAGACAGACAGACGATAGATAGATAGATAGATAGACAGACAGACAGACAGACGATAGATAGATAGATAGATAGACAGACAGACAGACAGACGATAGATAGATAGATAGATAGACAGACAGACAGACAGACGATAGATAGATAGATAGATAGACAGACAGACAGACAGACGATAGATAGATAGATAGATAGATAGATAGATAGATAGATAGATACAGACAGACAGATATTGTCAGATTATAGATAGATAGATGATAGATGATAGATAGATAGCTAGATAGATAGATAGACACAGACAGACAGACAGACAGACAGATAG